AGCCTTCATCCTGTGCCAATCTGAATCAAATCACCAAATAAAAGGATCTACTTCTTTGCTTAAAAACACACTCTGTGAAGCTGGCAATTTCGTCTGCTTAGATTCGAAATGTCGTTTTTTTGCCTGTGCTTTTTTCGCTGTTTTTCGTTTTCGCACGCGTTGTTGTCCCTGAGTTACCCGGCCTGCTTGCTTCGGGAGTGCTGCAACCTGAATCTCATCACCAGGGTTACGGGGCAGCCTCAGTGAGATCTCATCACTACAGCAACGTGTTGTGCTTATATATACTCATCACTTGTTGTATTTCAACAATCCATTATTAACCATACTAAACTAAAAAGAAGAATGCGTGAACTGCGTTTACTTGAAGACCTTACCATCAGCGATTTCTCTCTTCTCGCCGTTGATCAACAATGGCTTGTCCCAGGCAAAGACATCCTCAACGAACTCCTTGTCCTCTGGCTTGGTTGCGTCCAATTGGGAGAAGGTGTAGGACTCCCAGTCTGGAGCGACGTCGAAGGCTGGCTCGTGCTTGTCACCTCTGACGAGGAAAACAGCAACAATACCGTTGTTGTTGTTCTCACCGTAGACAACACCAGAACCAAAGAGGTACTTGGTGGAGCCTGACAAACGGTTGAAGAAACCACCGAGCAAGTTGTTGGACATGAAGGTCAAGGTCAACTCATCGTTGTACTTGTAGTCGACTCTCCACAAGGACCACTCAGTTGGGTCGTAGTGTTCCCAGAACCATGGCAGAGCAGTCTCACGGGTCTCCTCGTTGGAGTAAGTTCTCTTCCACTCATCCAAGTTGAACTTGGTGGACTTACCCAAGAGCTCCAATGGGTGCTTTGGCTTCTTCTCCTCGGCTGGAGCAGCAGCTGGCTCTTCAGCAGCAGCCTTTGGTGCAGCCTCCTTCTTCTCCTTCTTTGGAGCGGCCTCCTTCTTTTCCTTCTTTGGTGCAACGTACTCAACTGGCTTCTCAATGAATTGGAAGTCAGCAAAGGTCTTGGCCAAAGTTGGGTGAGCTGTGACAGTAGAGAACCATCTGGTGATGGCTGGGTGAGCAGCTCTCCACTCAGAGCCGAACAAGTATTGGAAGGCTCTGTAGGAGACAGAAGCAGTGTACAAGTCAGCAATGGACAATCTCTCGCCAACCAAGTAGGTGAACTCGGAGAGTCTGGCTTCAAGGACAGCAGCCAATTGCTCAAGGTAAGCAGTAGCATCGGTAACTTGCTTCTTGTTGTATGGGACCTTACCAATGATTGGGCCGAATGCCTTAACGGCAGTTGGGAGCCACTCAGAGTTGGCAAATGAGAGCCATCTGATGATTTGAGCGTATTCCTTCTCGTTCTTACCCAAGAGAGACTTGTCATCAGTCAATGAGAGCACTTTATGAAACTAGTGTTAGTAACGCACCTCTATCTCGAAGCCAACGCCCCCATTGAAGGTTATGCAATCGTGATCTCCTGTTTCCTGGACTTTCTTCAGAGTAAAAATTCTCGACATGATCTATTAAGACAGGGATAACTGTTTAAAAAATAATGGAGTATCATCATTGCAAAAGTACAAGACCTTGAGAGCAAAAACCACCACCAAAGACATGGCACAGAACAAAATACTTACAGTACAACACAACGGCAATGGCCTCAGTCAACTTGTAGCCCTTTGGACCAAGGAAAGCTGGGTACTTGGCCAATGGGAAGTTCTTCTCGTATGCAGCATCCTTAGCGGCAACAGTCACGTCCAAGTTGTAGAACTCGACGAGACCCTTGACGAGGAAGCATCTGGCGTATTCACCGACGTACAAAGTACCTTGAGACATTGCTAAAATTCAAAGTTATCTCTGTTGCTTCGAAAACAGGAAACACATTTGAAGAGGATGAAGAAGTTGAGTGAAAACTTTTTCTTTTCCACGCTGTCTGTTCGTCCGCTGCAAAAAAAGAAGCGAAAAAAAGCCGGCGCATCCCGTTACGGCCACACACCGCCACCGCACGTGATCGTCGGTGAATTCTCTTAGGTAAAGCGGTGAGATGGTGGTTATGTAGTGGCGAGGGTGCAATTGTCACTTAAATGCGTGTGATAACGGACTGTGCTGGGTGTGCGGCACGTATGGGCACCTGCTATGGCAACCTTCAGGGGAAACCATGGCGCAAGATGTGTGGTTTAATGGCGTGGTGAGAGGCTAAGTTGAGCCGGAGGGAGGTGATTTTCGCGCTGGCGACGGTGGAGTGTGGTGTTCGGATGTGACAACTTGATAAGCGGTGGGGCATGGGCTATTGCGCTGTCCACTGGTCAATGATGAAGCGCAGGCTGTGTGTTTGGTGTGTTATGGTGCTGGTGTGGTGCTGGTGTGCAGTAATGTGGTTTACTGGGTTATTTTCGATGTAATTAGCGTGAAATTGGCCGGAAATGGTGATTTTCGGTAGGCATTAATTTTAGAAATACGCAAGCTGCTTATGCAGACAGGTTTCTCATTTGATAAACTACACAGTTCATATTCTTTAATTCGCAACGCTACAACGAGCCAGAAGTGGTTGTGCTGTATGAATTATCTAACAACAGTGGCCATGCTGTGCTGAACAGCCACCACGTAACATAAACTACTAAATTGCGGCCCATCTCATAGCGTAGATCCCCATTCTACATCACACAGTACCGCACCACCTCACAAGGGCCATCGTCACTGTGTGCCTCCAGCCATCGCTTCAACCAACCGGAAGAACACCAATTGCCATCCATTCCCTGGCCAATTGGCTCAGAAACGCTCAAAAGCACCACCAATGAACCAAAATTGACACCTCAATATACGATCGGTGGCCGTTAGAAGGAGCAGGTTTTAGTGAGCAGCCTGGGCAGCTCCCACCGGCGTGCCACCACCGCGTACTACGCGGAATTGTCTCCGCCCACGGGCTTGGTGCGTTCCCCTGGCACGCGTTCCCGCGTAGCCTCAAAATGAAATGTGAAACACATACCAGTGGGGACTCACTTGGAGAGATTCTTTTCACGTCTTCCACCTCTTGCTCTGTTTAAATTCAGCACAAATTGAACACCGACGTCGTGCCAACCCACACCAGCCTGTCCGGTAGTTGTTGAGTAGTTTAAGGAAAGAGAACAGCATGATGAGTGAAGAGAAGGAAAAGAAGAGACCGGGCCCACTAGATCTCTCACGCTCAGAGCACATTCCAGACAGTGAAAAGGACATGTCAACGTTTGCCCTGCAATGCGTGAGCCCTGGCTTGCCACCGTTGAGTGCAAAGATGCAGACCACGGTGCTACAGTCCAAATCAATCGAGCAACAACAGCGTCAAATCATTGCACAGAGAGCTGGTGTTCTTTCGTCGCCGAGTGACGACCACGCTGTGGATGGATGCGCCAATGCTGAGAGTTTGCAACGAGCAACGCCGTCCACATCTGGGTTGACCAGTAACATGGAGAGCCTGTCAATACCATTGACGAGCTCGAATAAGCGCCTGAAGCGTGATCGGGTTCCCACTCCTTTGAACCTTGGCTCAGCAAGGACTCAACAACCACAGACCATCAGGTCTGCTCCTATATACAACTTTTCGCAGCCACTCTCACCACAGACAGCACAGAGAGCCAACTTCAAGAGAGCTCAGAGACAAGCTGTGCATGCTGTGGGATCCCAGAGGGCTAAGCAGCAACCGCATCAACAGGCGCTGTTGACAGCAAACCCTCACAGAGCCCAAATACCCTTTGTCAATGCGTCGCATCCGCAATACACGGCGATGAACAACGTATATCGTCGCGTACCACAGACCGCCACCATAATGCGTCATCCTGGCCAGGGTATGCCCTTCTCGCAACGTCAATGGATAAAGTACCAGCAGCAGTTGGCATATCAACACCATCAGTGGAGCAAGTTCAAGAAGTACCAGAACTCGCAAGCCGTGAGCCATGTCACGGACGTGTTCCCAGGTGAAGGACAGAGATTTGCACCGCTAGAGGCACAAGCTCTCAGTTCACAGCGGTGTGTGTTTGATACAGAGGTTAAGGCACAGACGGTAACAAAGGAGCACAGGAGAAAGAGGAACCACGATGATGAAGAGCTGGACGATGATGATCCCGAAAGCGCTGCTATAGAGGACGATGCCGAAGTCGGCATCATCACAGGGATACAGAAGGAACAGATTGTCAGTGCAGAGCTGAAACTGGCGAATAACGTGTTCAGATTCGAACTGGAAAGGCATGGTGGGCTCGATAAAGAGAGATTCTTGAACCACTGTGCTACGGCGTGGGATCAGTTTAACAAGGTATAAAGCCAGGTGAGATGAGGGAGAGTATATACAGAGTAAAATTGACATAACTTTCAGAAGAAACTATGTATTGGAATGTTAAAGGAACTGGTGAAATGACACCACAATAGCCTGTGACCTGTCATTGACCTTAGGTGGTAACCTGTGGTATCATTTGGATTTTGAATCTCCATTATTGTTGCCATTCTTTGAAGATTGCGACCCTTTGAATTCTTGATCCTGACTGGAGTTCTGTTCACGATCCCGCCTAATAGTAGCTGTCTGTAGAGGAGAGTCTGTGAGATTCTGCTGTAAATGTCGTCTTACCCTTGGTGGTAGTTGATGGTTAGCAGAAGAAGGGATAGGCGTATTTCCAGAACCAAAGGGTATGTTCCAATCGTTTGAATAGAAATTAGAAGGTGATGGAAACAGATCAGGAACATACCGCGAGGGCAGTCCACCTGTTAGTGGTGTCTGTTCACCCATCTTGGACTGCTGAGGAGGTAACGGCGGCGGCAGATTGAACAACCCGGAACCCAGAGAAGCGGACAACGGAGTAGAGCCATTGGACAAGAGACCTAACCCCTTTGGCTCATCACTCTGAGCTGATGTTGGTGTTCTTTCTCCCGGTTTCATGGTACCATCTTTGCCACTTACACCGGTTTTATTTGCAGACTCGTCAGAGTGTAAGCCAGTATGTGACGCTGTAGAGGTCGTGGCTATTCCGTCTTTTTGCTTCCTGGCATCTGTTGGTATCTCAACACGTAGTATAGGCCTCTTGCTGATGTTGTTGTTCAACGATCTTGCCCTTGTGTAGGGCGAGTTGATCACGACTGGCTGTGGTAGGCCACCTCCAGTGGAAGGAGGCGATTGTAGATGTTGCTGGGGAACATAGTTCCCTGATACCCGGTATTGGTATGCCAATTGCGATGCCTGTGATGGCGGTACAGTTTCAACCACGGGAAGCTGTTGCTGCTGCTGCTGCTGTTGTTGTTGTTGTTGTTGTTGTTGTTGTTGTTGTTGTTGTTGTTGCTGGCTCCACGGGTGTGGCATCATACGCTGTTGGGACTCCTGGAAATGAGAATACGAACCCTCGTACAATGGATTATGCATTGGTAACCCAGAAACCTGTCCTGATAGTGGCAGGTGTGACTGTGTATATCTTGGAAGGAGCTGGTTTGGCAAGTGAGACCCCACCATTGCACTTTGATTACTAGCAGGCACAGTATTCATGCTGTTGATGTCCTGCAACTGCTGTACTCGCTGCTCCAGCACCGAGGCCTCTGGTTTCACAGCGGCCTCGTCCTTTGCTTTCTTCCGACTTGTTGTTTTCCTCTGCTTAGCAGGTCTATCAGTGTTTTGGCCCTTCAGCTTCCTTTTGGCCTCCGCGGGCTTCTCTTCATTGTCGTCATCGCCATCCTCGTCCTCCTCCTCCTCGTCGTCGTCGTCCTCCTCCTCATCGTCAGAGCCCTCAACAACGTCGGCGGTCATCACGGACGTCGTCCGCCGGTGGCCCTTGTCTGCTCCCATTGGGCCTACGCGCGACATCGTCTTGTAGTCGCCGTAGTCCTCCGGCGTCTTCACATCGTGAGCAACACCCTCGTTCTTGAACCGATCCAACAGCTGATCCACATCGGTCGACGTGTACTCAAAGAACTTGGAGTGGTTCTTGCCCAGTATTATCACCGCGATGTCCACCTGGCACAGCACCGCCAGCTCGTGCGCCTTCTTGAACAGGCCAGCTTTCCTCTTCACAAACGTCACCTTCCGGTTTCGCTCATCCGTGATGGGCTGGATTGAAATCTTTCTTCTGCCCATGTTGCCGTCTCACGTCCTCCACTTCACCTTGCTTCGACAAACAGCACTCGAACAGCACTCGAACAGCACGCAAACAGCACTCAAACACAGCGCACACCGGTATTAAAGCGTGCTCTGGATCTCAGTCTCAAGGAAGCCCAAGACGCAGCGTGTGTGGAAAATCCCGGCTCGAAAAGATCGCTTCACAGAGAGAGCAGGCAGATATCCACCAATTAAATCACACACGGGTAGTACAAAATAGCAGCGATGCTCACAGAAGCACACACACACACAGCAATCAATTGAATAGACAGAATACTCAGTGTGTATTCGTAGAGCCCGGCTTGGTGTTGTTGTTGTTGCTGCTGTTTGGCTCTTTCCCTCGCAAATTTCAGAGCTCTTTCAACCACTTCAAAGGGAGAAAAAGACAAAAGCGCCAAAGGTTCGAACAAAGTGGAAAACCACCGCAAAAACGCAGCCATCGAGCGAAAATGGCTGGGAGGAAAGTGCGCCTTCTGGTGAAGATTGAACGGAGGATTGAACGCGCCAGAGGGGAGCCGCGTGGGAGCTTCGAGAAGAAAACAGACAACGGGCAGCGGGCAGCGGGCGCTGGTGCTGCCGCTTGGTGGGCGTGTGCTATTTTTAGCACACACGCCAGCGGGAAGCGTTTCCTGTGCTTGCTTGGTGGTTCTGTTGACGCAAAAGTTTCCGTATGCGGAATGACGTTTGGCGGTTGTGTGTTTTTCGCAAAATGGCGGGAGAGCGGTGATTTGTGGTCACGTGGGCAGAGGGGGACGTGCACGTGGCGCGCCACGTGATGTCCGCGAACCCGTTTTATGTTCTGCCCGCGAGGAGGACCACAGCGGAAAAAAATGCCAGTGTGACGGTTTCGACGCTGTGTCGAAAGCGCCAAAAGAGCCAAAAGAGCCAAACAGATACAGAGAAAAGTGCTTGAGACCGCACGTTCGACGCCATGCTCCGCCTCAGACCCCTTGCGAACTCGAGACTCGGTGTCAGATCGTTCACCTCAGCGAGAAGTGCCTTGAACGAGGCCAAGAAGTCCTCAAATGCCAACCCTCAACAGCAGGTGTTCGACCCAAGGTTCATTGGCCTCACAAGAGACATCTACATTCCAGTGTCGTATAAGAACCTGCCGAACCCATTGACCAGCCCAAGAGCGGTGTGGAGGTCGCTGATTAGAAGGCTCTACACTCTCGGGATGAACACCGTCCAGGTGGCGTTGATGCGCTACCAAACCGGCATGAAACCACAGTTTCTCCTGTGGAAGAACCGTGCGATTGAGAGATACGTTGCAATCAACAAGGCATTTGCTGCCGGCGACATCAAGCCTGTTGAGAAGGAGGTGTCTGTTTGGGTCGAGAAGGCCTTAAAGGCCAGAGTTGGGTCCATTCCAAAGGGCGTTAAGCTTGATTGGAAGCTGGTCAAGTTCAACGAAAAGCCAAAATTGGTTGCGTTTAGACCAATCATGCTGCCTGGAAGACCAGTGGAGTACGCCCAGGCCGTGTATAAGTTCAACACACAGCAGGAGCTGATTAACGTGAATCTGAAGACCGACAAGGTAAAGAAGATTGACAGAAACGTTACGGATTACGTTGGGTTCGTTATCGATTTGGATACCGATAAAGTCATCTTGGCTGGCTCTGTCTTTGAGAATTCCCCAGAGGATAGAATCCCTAAACCTGAAGACATTGATCAAAGCATGATCTTCAAAGATATGAAACTTAACGGTGATATCTATAGAGCACCAGCACAACCAGCGTTGAAGGAGCCATCATCTTCAAACTGAACCGAGGTTCAATTAACACTACAAATTGGAACTGGAAAAGCAACAATTTGATCAAATCAACTTGTAAATAACGATTGTTTTATATCTTACATATAGTGTATATCATTCAAATCAAGAGACTGGGCATCGTACTCCTTGCTCTGATAATCTTAGATACCTCCTGGTTGTATTCTGTGCAGGTCAATTCATTTCTTCATATTCATAGTACCCATAACATCCACGTAACCACGACCAGGCTTCTTCTTTCTTCTAGTGGATGGACCACTGGTCATACTCATTAGGGAATCCAAATCAGATGGAGGTGGAGGTCCAGCTTTATGTGAAAGCGAGCTAGAAGGTGGTGGTGGTAATGACTGTGGTGCACCACTGCTGCCAGTTGAAACCACTCTCTCCGATGAATCTGAGGACATCGCCACAGCAGTGTTGTTATCTGAAGGATGGCGAGATGGTTGGCCTATAGACCCTTCAACTATAGAAGGACGAGGCTTTGAAAGAATAGAAGATGGCTTCTTCTTGATGATAGGAGGTGGAGGTGGAGCAGCTTTCTTTTTCAGCTCATCCAAGTCCTCATCTCCATTAACCCATCTCTTCAGATTCTCATCGTAGTGGAAATTGGATTTCTCTCCGAGATTTGCTTTATAAACCTTTGGTTCATTCGAGTCTTTACGGAACCAACCACCGAGCCATCCAGACCCACCACTTGAACCCTTACTCTCTTTGTTCTTCTTCACTGATGGTTTACGGTCAACATTATCGTTGCTCTTAGTGTGGTTTTTGGCATTTTTGTCATCGTCTTCATCGTCGTCGTCATCATCATCCTCGTCTTCAACAATATCATCATAGTACTCCTCCTCTGGTATCTGCTCAATTTGTTCCTTCTTTGGTGGTTCATACGCAGTCATACGAGCAGACGGTGGCTCATAGGACACCCCACCAGCCGTAGAGTCTTGGCGTGGTGCAAATTTGGATTGTGGTACAGCTGTATGAGGTGAAATAGGTCTCATATTCAATGATTGACCCATAGCATTTGAAAAAGAGCCTCCACGTTGAGCATGGAAGCTAGTATCAGACACAGAGTCGTGACGGGATTGAGCTGGGGATGAAGAATTGCGAGACTCCTGCTGAGGAACATAAGAGGTTCTTCTCTCTTCAACTGGAACATAGGAGGTTCTTCTCTCTTCAACTGGAACATAGGAAGACTTTCTTTCTTCAACTGGAACATAGGAAGTTCTTCTCTCCTCAACTGGAATATAGGAGGTTCTTCTCTCCTCAACTGGAATGTAAGATGACCTTCTGTCTGCCGTTGGCGCAGAGACAATTCTACTCTCTTCAACCGAGACGTACGTGGAGCTTCTTTCCTTGGTTGGAGAATATGTAGCTCTTCTCTCTGCAGGAGGTGCAAAGTCTCTTCTAACATCACTCGTAGAAACGTCTCCTTGAACAGAATCAGGAGAATTATTTTCAACTGGGCTCGGTGACACGGTGGTTCCGGCGTTTCTCTGGTCATCGCCTTCAGCAACAGTTGTTGGAGGAACATATTGAATGCCAGAAATTGAATACAAATCCAAATCACCAGAAACAGAAGCAACAGGTTCTTCTTTACTAGCTGTCGATGAGATAGACTTTGGAATAAACCTATTGTTTTTCTTCTTCACAGGCGCCTTCTGGTCATTGTTGGCATATGGAGACCTGGATGGTGCATATGGCGAATCGCTTGGATGAGATTGGGCATAACGATCCAACGAAACATGTGATGGCTGTGTTGAACCTCCAACATGATCTTCCAGAGAAACATTTGATGAACCAGGTTCAAACGTTTTATTGTTCATCCTAGCAGAAATATCTTCCACTGATGTTTCAAACTGTGGAGCTTTGTATGGACTAGCAGTGACAGATCCAATATCACTTTGAGTTTCGGAAACAAGATCAGCATTCATCGACTCAATGACAGAGTTTTCAGTATAATCGTCTTCCATTTTCGGAACCCCCGACTCGACTGAAGGTACGGTCATAACGATACTCTCCTTGCCCAATGTTTCTGAATTACCAACAATATTATCACGAGGTTGAAGAGTGGACTCTGTTGCAAATGAAGTTTCCTCTGTATCTGCTTGATGAGGGTGTGATACTTCTGTTTGTTGAGTTACAGGTGCATATGGCCCTTGAGAAACATCCTTCTGTGGTATAACGTTTGTTGGAGCCTGCTTAACATCAGCATGGTCTGTTGGGACTTCATGAGATACCGGTGTAGCGTTTGAAGTTGAAGTATCATGAACAACAGGAGCAACAGAAGCAACAGGAGCAACAGGAGCAACAGGAGCAACAGGAGCAACAGGAGCAACAGGAGCAGCCAGAGCTGAGGCAGAGGCAATTGGTGCTTGATGAGTTGGAGGTGCAGTTGTGTGTCCAGCGTGACTTGGTGGAATAATAACATGATCTGGACCCAACGAAGAATGACTCGTATGACCAACTGGATGTGTATCTATGTGGTTAACAGGATGTGCAGTAGGATGACCAGCAACATCAGCAGTTCCGCGACCATTTGGAGCTCCGCTCATTTGTTGAATCGGAACATTACCTCTGTGTGTATCTAGATAATGCCCAGTAACACCCTCATGAACCACATTAGAAGAATTCACAGAGGACACAGCTGAATGTTTTGGTGGTGCAGAGTGGAGACCATGAGGCAATACATTTTGCAGATTTGGACTGGTTTTGAAAGACACTGGATCATTTGATGAGCCCATTGACGAAACTCTTGAAAGAGAGTCATCGATATCTGGCGTATACTTTGGCCTTCTTGGAGAACCAACGCGTGACACATTTTGTGAGCCAATCGACTCTGCAGTAGATGATGCACTCTTCGAATAGTTGGAGACCTTGGAGCCCTTTGGTGTATTTCTAGCACCAATGCCAGTGCCTTGTGGATAAACCCTCTGTGGATCAGAGTGAGGGAAGTTCGAATGAACTGGGATTCTAGGTGTGATATGAGCATTCAGTTCAGTGGAGACAGGCCCGTATCCATAATAGCTCGAAGTCTTAGGTAGCTCTGGTCTCCCAAACGATGCACTATCGTTACCCACAGACGTATTGGCAAGCGAGGCGATAGACGATGAACGGGACAAGTCAGCACTGAACTTGCTGAAGACACCATTATCTTTGTTCTCAGCCTTTGGTTCATCTCCAGTCACCAACTTGTTCAGACCTTTATCAAGAGTACCCCAAACTTTGTCTAACTTTGGCTTTGCAAACCATCCTTCGTTCACAGATGTCCCAGAAAGAGCTTGTGCCAGACGCTTCTGAGCATAAATAAATGGAATACTGTTCTTCTTGGATGCTTTGAAAGCAGTAAGCGAAAGGTCAGCATATCTTTGAGACTCTGACAACATGTTATAATCTGCAAGATAGAAGGCATGACTCAACAATACAAGGGACAAGTCTGAGGAAACACCTTTATCCTGGAGATACTGCCCGTAAATCTCCGCATACAGCACCAATTGAAGGGATTTCAACGGTCTGAAGGCCTGCAATGGTACATCTCCCATAACAAACAAGGTAAAAGCAGATATCTCTTGCTCTCTTTGGAATAAAAACTCACCAAAAGCAGAGAAGAAATGCACCAAGGAAGATGATTTGTTGTTAATGACGGCCGAGGAGATTTCTTTCCAGTTCATACAAGCCCAATCTCCCAGCACCGGGTCCGCTTTGAATGTGTTTATAACACTATCAATATCACCAGAGAGTATTTTAACCAACACTGGAAGGAAATATTCGGAGCCTCCGTTAAATTCCTCCCTCAAATATTCCTCAACAACGTTGATCCATTGCTCTTTGCCAATGAGACCTGAAATCAACAATGACAAGGCAAAATCATGTCCAGACAAAGCAACGTGCAACGCGTCTTGCTTTTGACCAGCTGCAAGCAATGATATGATATGTCTCTTGTTGATCGTTGATGGCACAGTTGAAGAAGGGATATCCTGAAAGTTTACAACAGTACCTAAATTCAAAGGAACAGAGGGATCAATAAACTTTTGTCTCAACACTTGTGACAATAGCAACTCAGCATCGTCCAGGACAGAGTAACGATTAGTGGTCAATCTGGTAATCTGAGCATCCAAATACTTAACCAAGTTCGCATTTGACTTCTTCTGTGGGAACTCCCGCAACATACTTTCTTTGAGAACAACATCAGCTTTAACCACGTTAACTGTATTACCATAACCATAGTTAGTGGATTTTGGAATGCAATAAGCAATGTTGCCACCACTACTCCAGCTGAACAGTGGGAATTGACGTCTTTGTAAGTCTACTGTACTAGACACAGCAACATTCTGCGCATGTGCAACACTAGAATATCCAAAAGACTCTTGATAACCAGGGGCTGCCCCTCTCATTTGGTGTGGTTGAGTACTCGAAGATGCACTGAAATGAGGTTGTTGCAATTTCGGGTCATACACTTGTTGAGCTGATTGTTGTTGAGGCAATGGAACTTTTTGTTGTTGAGGCAATGGAGCATTTTGAGGAACGGATGGTAGTTGCTGTGACTGTTGAGGCTGATACTTCTGCGCAACGAGAATAGGATCGTATTGAACAGCAGATGTACTTGCTTGTCTTCTGTGATTTATTGGTGCATATCTTGTGATTGGGGAAACGACTCCTTGACCAGTATTACCAGTACCAATAGTCTTCAAACTTGGTTCAGTTACAGTATTTCCTTTGTAGTTCAAAGATTGGGATACCTTATGAGGAGGTTGTAACACTTTTGGTGGTGCAGCAGAAGAGTGTTGCGGGAGATATTGCTGAGGAGGTCCCACTGGCGGTGCTTTCACAGCAGGTGTTGGAATTGATGGTCCAGGAGCATATCTTGAAGGACCGGTTGAAGGTACACTTCTGGTAACTGGTGGAGGATGGGCAACAGGCAGTTCTGTGAAGCCAGATCCAGTGTTTGGTGGTGCCGGTTTCGATATCCCCATGCCCATCACAGCTGGTTCGTACTTGGATACAACTGGCGACTTCGAGACACCTGGGTTTGATTGTTGAATTGGCGGAGCATATTGATTAACCTGCTGCTGTGGTGGTAGTGATGATGGTGGTGGTGGTGCATAAGGATTGCTAGAATTCTGACTGGACTGGAGGCCAACATGAACACCAGGTGCCGATGGTACTGGTGGATTGCCATACCCACTTAGAACTGTATTTTGAGCAGGTACTCGTGGAGGTGCATGTGCTATATTGGGTGATTGTCCACTTGGGACTGGGTTCAGTAGAGGTGAAGAAACACTTGAAGACAGACGGGATGAGGCTCTTGGTCTATGTGGAGCTGTGATCTGTGGGATTGGTAACTCTTCAAAGAACGAGGACTGCTTCTTCTTCAATGAAGCTGGTGGTTTAGCAGTTGAGAGAGCCCCTGGTGCGTATGGATTTGGAGCATTTTGTACAGAAGGAGGACCTTGTGAAGCATTCAATGAAGGCGATGGACTATTGCCATATGATGGTTGAGAGTCAGTGCTTAATGCAGCAGCCACACGAGGTTTATGAACAGTTTTTGTTGGCATTAGATCCAGAGGGAAGTCGTAAGCATCAGACTTTTGCTTCTCAGAACTGAATTTGCCCATATCCAACTGATGTACAGGTTGTGGTGGTTGGAACATTGAAGACACACCACCCCTTTGCGCGTATTTCTGATACTGAGAGTTCTGAGCAGGAGCATTAGATATTGATCCTGTAGGAGCCGATGGCATATACGGATTACGAGTTTGGCGATGTGGTTGTTGGCCAAATTGTTGTTGAACTTGTTGTTCAACCTTAGGTTCAGGTTGGGATGGCATTGCTTGCTGTGGTGCAGGTGCTTTATTTTCTTCCAAGACATCATCTAATAATTCATCCTCCAACAAGTCCTCGTCCAACTCCAAGTCTAAAGAAGAAAATTTGTTTGTCAGGTTATCGACATCGTTATCGTGACGTTGTTCTGAAGTCAACTTGTCCTGAGAACCACTAATGATTGCACCAAAGTCATCATCTCCATCAGCAAACAAGTTGGAGTGGTCTGCAGCTTCTGAAGTGCCGGTATTGAAGTTCGTAGAATTATCCTCACTCAGCAAAGAATCATCACCAAAGTTGAGCTTTTCAAATTTGGAGCTGTTGGTCTGCTGATGGTGTTCAGTGATATCAGTTTCTCCAGAATTGTGTTGCTCCCAAGGAAGGCCAGAGTCTTCAGTATTCGGCTCCTCCCAAGGAAGATTAGAGCTAACTGTCGATTCTGGGAACTGGATTTCATTTCCGGCTTCCCCAATGGCAGGTGATGACGAGTCAGGCTCAGTATTAGTTGTCCATTGAGAACTGTAGGGATCAACATGGTCACTTGTAGTAGACTCGTTGGTAGCTGGTTGCACAACTTCACCGTCTTCATAATTCTCAGAGCCTTGAGGAGGTTCATTGCTGGCTGATCCTTCAACACTGCCCTGTAAATATTCAGGTGTGATCTGTTGCTCAGAATCAACTATGTATTCTGGTTCATCGAACTGCTGAGTATTCGCCAACCCATTACCCGGGGCTTCTATCACAAAATCATCATTTGAAGCAAAGAGATCATCAACAGTCGATGACACGGCAGATGCTTGAGGAGGTTCCTCATTAATGATCTCTGCTTGATTTTGGGGAAGTGGTTCATCAGTAGTTTCATCAATATTTTCATCAACAGGCGCATTCAAACGTTCATACACGGCGTCAGCAGCGGGAGACTCAGGGACAGCACCAGTATTTGCTTGGCCATCTTCATATAACGGGGTCGAAGCATGGCTGGCGAATTCTTGAGCCAAATGCTCCCCATTGCTCGAGGCACCAATAACAAAGTCATCATTTGAAGCAAACAAATCCTCAGCACTGGATTGGGTAACTTGATCATCATCAATGCCTTCAACAGACTGTCGGTGTGACTCTGGACATGGCTCCTCAACCTGCACAGAGAGCGGAGCCTCTTCAACAGGCGCTGACGCTTGCGTTGTTTCTTGTTCAGGCAAGACAGGCTCATCGTTCGGCAGTTCTTCGCCACCTTCACCTTGCGATGCCAACTGCTCGGCCACAGCCGAGCTACCATCGCCCACGTCCGTTTCAAGTGAGAGATCATCCTGAGTTGGAGCCGCTGGAATGACTTCCTCGACGGGACCGGGACCAGCCTGTCCAAGATCTGCTGTCTCCAGTGATTCACCAACCTCAGCGGCACCAGAACCATTCACTTTTTCACCATTCACGTCCACGTCCCCAACAACAGCTGCTTCAGCATCATCATCCTGGAGGCTTGCTCCTCCAGCCTCCCCGACTGTATCGTTGCCTGCCCCCCTAGCAGCCTTCTTCTTAGCGCTGGCACGCTTCTTAGCGCCAGCAGATTTCTTCTTCGCCATCTGTCACGATGATGCTCAATTCTATGGAAACAAAGAACACCAAACACAAAGGCCGTGTCCTTTCAATTATCAACAGTGTGAGTCACGAGTAGAACCGAGGCTCAGTGGAAACGGTAGTTGTATGCCTTTAAACCAAGCGAACGGAGAGACGTAAACGACAGCGTTTTGTTGTTGTGTTGTTAAAATTGATCTCGGGCCCACCCAACGTCATTTTTCTCCGCCGCGGGCTCATAACGCGCGTGCCTGGAAATTTTCACCTCATCTGGTTGGGATAGCAACGCCCTGGCCAAAAAAAAATTTGACTATGGAGCTTGGGCCAACTTAGCTGTGGCCAACTTAGCTGTGGACGAGACATATATCGGTGGCCAGAGCAAAGTAGACATGGCCGTGGGAGTTATCAAGACCAAGCAGAAGCTTGCACCTGAGAAGGAGCGCTTCCTTCAGTGCTGTTCGGACATTACCCTTGAGTTGATCGACTCATTGAAGAGCTCGAAGGAGATCAACCTTAACGGGCTCATCACCAAGAACTCCAAGAAGTACAAGCTCAAGTCGCAGCCGCGGTTGACAGATGTGATCAACTCCATCCCAGATCAGTACAAGAAGTACCTGTTGCCTAAGCTGAAGGCCAAACCTGTCAGAACAGCATCCGGTGTGGGTGTTGTTGCGGTGATGTCCAAACCGCACAGATGCCCTCATATCTCCTTCACAGGTAACATCTGCGTGTACTGTCCTGGAGGACCAGACTCGGATTTCGAATACTCCACGCAGTCCTATACAGGCTACGAGCCCACGTCCATGCGTGCGATCAGGGCGCGGTATGATCCGTACGAGCAGGCCAGAGGTCGTATTGATCAGCTAAAGCAACTTGGCCACTCTGTGGATAAAGTTGAGTACATTGTCATGGGTGGTACTTTTATGTCTCTAGATAAGGAGTACAGGGAGGACTTCATAACTCAGTTGCACAATGCCCTTTCCGGCTACAACGGTACAGATCTTGACCAAGCCATCAGCTATTCGCAGCAATCTTTGACCAAGTGTGTTGGTATCACCATTGAAACGAGACCTGATTACTGTACAAAGACACACCTTGACGACATGCTAAGATATGGATGCACGCGTCTTGAAATCGGTGTTCAAAGTGTATATGAAGATGTTGCCAGAGACACGAATAGAGGCCACACTGTGAAGTCTGTGTGTGAGACATTTGCCATTGCGAAAGATGCTGGGTACAAGATAGTTAGTCATATGATGCCTGATTTACCCAATGTTGGTATGGAGAGGGACTTGGCACAGTTCAAAGAATACTTTGACAACCCAGATTTTCGAACAGATGGGTTAAAGATCTATCCGACCTTGGTCATCAGAGGCACCGGGTTGTATGAGTTGTGGAAAACTGGTAGGTACAAGTCCTACAATGCCAATGCATTGATTGATCTTGTTGCTCGAATCATGGCGATGGTGCCACCATGGACGAGAATATACAGAGTTCAAAGAGATATTCCTATGCCATTGGTGTCATCTGGTGTTGAAAACGGTAACTTGAGAGAGCTTGCGTTGGCCAGAATGAAGGACTTTGGTACCAAGTGTCGTGATGTGAGAACGAGAGAGGTTGGAATCCAAGAGGTTCACCATAAGGTCCAGCCGGATCAGGTTGAACTCATCAGAAGGGACTACTACGCCAATGGAGGCTGGGAGACGTTCCTATCGTATGAAGATCCTAAACAGGATATTCTCATCGGACTGTTGCGTCTTCGTAAGCCGTCCAAAAAACATACGTATAGAAAAGAGTTTAAGTCTCAACCAACATCCATTGTCAGAGAGCTCCACGTTTATGGCTCTGTTGTGCCGTTACACTCGAGAGACCCAAGAAAGTTCCAGCACCAGGGGTTCGGTACGCTGTTAATGGAAGAAGCAGAGCGTATTGCAAGGGAAGAACACGGGTCATCGAAGATCAGTGTTATTAGTGGTGTTGGTGTGAGAAACTACTACGCAAGACTTGGATATGAATTGGACGGACCTTACATGTCCAAGCCACTTAAATAACGACCTAATTTGACAGCACGATTACCATGCATGATAAGTAGAGCTACCGTCGACGCTCGTGTACGCTAGCGGACACTTACAAATTATGCTCATCACTTTGTATAAGGATCGGAGCTCGATGTTGTCATGTGGTCCCTGGCTCAGTGATCCTGGCTCAGTGATCTCGGCTATCAGCTACCGGCTAAGTGATGATGACTAACGGCTACTGGCTAAGTGATGACCAACGGTTCCAGGCCAGGTGGGTCCCATGGCTGTGAGCAGCGGCCTCTGAAAAATATTTTTTAGTCCCAGGGCACAAAATCCAAACACCCGCACAGGTTGGACATAATCATTGTGGCGTTCGCATTTCTAACAGCAACACTTAATCTTTGATTACAAACGCTCTCTTTTTCCTCTGACCAATCCCTTTTCCACATCTTGATGCTTCGTTTTGCAAGACAATTATCAACAATGGCCCCAATTACTCCAAAACATTACGATTACCTAGTCATCGGTGGTGGCTCTGGTGGAGTCGCATCCTCTCGTCGTGCGGCATCCTATGGTGCTAAGACGTTGCTCATTGAAGGTGGCCACATTGGTGGTACCTGTGTTAATGTTGGCTGTGTTCCTAAGAAGGTTATGTGGTACGCCAGTGAAGTGGCGAAGACTATCACAGAGGCCAGGGAGTATGGGTTTGATGTTGACCCCAAGCTGGCCAAGACTTTCAACTGGGAGTACTTCAAGCCTAAAAGGGATGCCTATGTTGAGAGATTGAACGGTATCTACGAGCGCAACCTCGAGAAGGAGGGCGTCGAGCTCTTGTACGGTTGGGCCAAGTTTAATGAGGATGGCCTCGTGGAGGTTGCAAAGAGAGATGGAACCTCAGAGACTTTCACTGCTGATAACATCCTCATCGCTACAGGCGGTAAGCCAATCCCTCCAAGCATTCCGGGTGCAGAACATATTATAGACTCCAATGGGTTCTTCAAATTGGAAAAACAGCCAAAGAGGGTTGCTGTTGTGGGTGCTGGCTACATCGGTGTTGAGTTCTCCGGCTTCTTCCACGGATTGGGATCAGAGACACATTTAATCATTAGAGGCGATACATTCTTGAGAAAGTTTGACGAGAGCATCCAAACCACTCTTACAGACTACTATACAAAGATTGGCGTCAATGTCCACAAGAAGACCCAAGTGAAGTCCGTTGAAAAGTTAGCTGACGGCGCTCTCAAGCTTACATTCGACACTGGCTCCACATTGGAGGTGGACTCGGTAATCTGGACCGTCGGACGCCATTCTTATCTCGGCCTTGGACTGGAACACGTTGGTGTTAAAGTTACAGACAGGGGACTGATTGTTGTTGACGAGTACCAGGAGACCACTGCTAAGAACATCTTCTCCCTCGGTGATGTCACAGGTGAGGTTGAGTTGACTCCAGTGGCCATTGCAGCAGGCAGAAAGCTCTCCAACAGATTGTTCGGCCCAGAACAGTTCAAGGATCAGAAGCAGGATTACACCAACGTGCCATCTGCTGTTTTCTCCCACCCTGAGGCTGGTTCCATTGGTCTATCCGAAGCGGATGCTGTTGAGAAGTATGGTAAGGACAACTTGAAGATCTACAAATCAAAGTTCACCCCAATGTACTACGCTATGCTTGAACACAAGTCGCCAGTCAGCTACAAGCTCATCTGTGCTGGTCCAGAGGAGAAGGTTGTGGGATTGCACCTGGTTGGAGATGCCTCGTCTGAAATCTTGCAAGGCTTCGGTGTCGCTATCAAGATGGGTGCTACTAAGGCGGATTTCGACAGCGTCGTTGCTATCCATCCAACCTCTGCCGAAGAGCTCGTCACTCTCAGATAACTAACCGCCAGTGGTCACGATCGTCGTCGTCGTCGTATTAGTAAGCTTTGATGGCCATTCTTAATCTGATCCACTGGGCCAAGTGTGGTTGTCACGTATGACGTCGCCGATGGACCTTTGTGATCGCGAGATCATCGGCCTTTGAATTTTCCCTTGTTCTTAGTCCTGCTGTTCGAGGCATGCGCCTGGGAGACACATGGCAGAGCCCACCTGCAGGAGTATACAGAACCCTTTACAATAGATATAAAACTAGCATGTTGAACCATTTGACGGAACCTTTTGTATCCCTTTTATACACAGAGTTGTAAATACAAACAAGTATAAGGCAAAACAATGACTAAAACAGGCGCAAAGCATTTCGAGTACATCGTCATCGGTGGTGGTTCTGGCGGTGTTGCGTCCTCGCGTCGTGCAGGATCGTACGGTGTGAAGACGCTGCTTATTGAAGGTAACCATGTTGGCGGTACATGTGTGAACGTTGGCTGTGTTCCCAAGAAGGTGATGTGGTATGCCAGCAGTGTTGCACAGAGGATATCGGAGGCCAAGGATTACGGGTTCGACGTTGATCCAAAGCTGGCAAAAACCTTTAACTGGGGGTACTTCACCCACAAGAGAGACGCCTACATTGAGAAGCTGAACGGTATCTATGAGCGTAATCTCAAAAACGACAATGTCGAGTTGCTCTACGGCTGGGCAAAGTTCAACAAGGATGGCGCTGTTGAGGTTACCAAGAAAGATGGTAGTTGTGAAACCTTCACTGGAGACAAAATCCTCATCGCCACTGGTGGTAAGCCAATTGCCCCAACAATCCCAGGATCAGAGTATATCATCGACTCCAATGGGTTCTTCAGCCTGAAAGAGCAGCCAAAAAGAGTTGCCATTGTTGGAGGAGGCTATATTGGTGTTGAATTCACTGGTCTCTTACATGGATTGGGGTCAGAAACCCATTTAATCCTAAGAGATGACCAGATCTTGGTAAGATTCGACGACAGTATTAGAGACACTGTTCTAGGCCATTACGCTGACACTGGTGTCAATATCCACTACGAGACTGAAGTGAAGTCCGTTGAGAAGATAGAGAGTGGGGCTCTTAAGCTTACCTTGAGCACTGGTTCCATGCTGGAGGTGGATGCCCTGATCTGGACAGTGGGACGTCGTACTTTCCTCGGTCTTGGCCTGGAGAATGTTGGCGTGCAAGTCACAGACAGGGGATTGGTTAAGGTTGATGAGTACCAGAATACCACAACAGCAAACATATATGCTCTTGGTGATGTTACTGGTCAACTCGATCTGACGCCTGTGGCTATATCTGCTGGTAGAAAACTTGCCAATAGATTGTTTGGACCAGCAAAGTTCAAAGCTCAGAAACAAAACTATACCAATGTTCCATCAGCTCTCTTTTCTCACCCAGAAGCTGGCTCAGTTGGACTCTCTGAGGTTGATGCCATTGAGAAATATGGTAAAGACAATCTCAAAATTTATCGTTCCAGGTTCACACCAATGTACTATGCTATGGTTGAACAAAAGTCTCCAGTCAGCTATAAGATCATTTGTGCTGGACCAGAGGAGAAAGTTGTGGGTCTGCACTTGGTGGGTGACTACTCTTCTGAGATTCTGCAAGGTTTCAGCGTTGCTATCATGATGGGTGCCACCAAGGCGGATTTCGATAGCGTTGTTGCGATCCATCCATCTTCAGCTGAAGAGCT